TTGCTTCCTCTTCCCAACTCTCGCACCACCACCTAGCTCACACCAATTCCTCTCTGTGTCTGCATTTCTTCATCACACCCCACTCCCTTCCCCTAAGGCAGATCTGTGTTCTCCTTAGCGTTTGGCGCCATGCCTGGCTTGTGTAAGGAGAGGCAGAGTAGCCAGGTAGGATGTGGTAAAGCTCCTGGGCTCTGGAGGCGGCAGACTGGGCAGTGGTTTCTAGAAGTATCGTATGGAGCTAGTAGCAACCGTCTGCTCTCCTCACAAGGTCATTGTGACAGTTGGCGGTTTCTGGTTTGTGATGCCCGTGGTTAAATATAGGCTCTCAACACAAGTTTGTCAGTTGAATGAATCAGTTCACTCTCACTTTTCCCCTCACTCTCCCTGATTTGGTGTTAACCTGACTCTGCCAACGTCTTCCTTTCTTATGCCTCACCATGAGAAGAGGAGAATAAGGCTGGCACACTTTCCATGGCCAGTTCTATAGCTTAGATTCTATCTATGTCCCACTTAAAATTCATGACATTGACCTGCACTCACTTCTGCATTCTGTTCTCTACCACTTCTGTGACCCGGTTTTACCTTGTTAGCTATGTGTGCATCTGGCTCACATTTTACTTTTCCACTCCACCCTGCTGCTCTCTCCAGCCCCCTTGTTGTTTGTGACCAGTTCGTATTCATGATCCATGATTAGACAATGTGACCTCCTGCTTTCTGGTCCTCTTTCAGGTTTAAACCAACTACCTCTGTTCCATGTTAGCCATATAAACAGCATTTCCTGCCCTAAATCTCATCATGACAAGGCACTGTTGACGTTCCAGGTCCTCTTCCCTCTGACTCCTTACCGCCGTTCCACTGATTCCCAAAGTATGGAATCCTGACCAACAAAAGCAGCTTCAGCATCACCTAAAAGCTTGTTAAACATGAGTATTTTTGGTCCCACCCGAAACCTACTGGGTCAGAAACTCTGGGGGTGGGGCCCAGCAATCTGTGTTTTAACTTCCCTCCATGGAATTGTGACGTCCACCAAAGTTTGAGAACCACTACCTCAAGCCATGTAGTCTCTTCTCCTGCATTCTGCCTTCCTCCTATTAATGCTTTACTAATTCTGGTAGGAAACATCTTATTATTGGAGGTCATTGTGTGCCGTTTTGAACATCATTATCACAGATAATTTTAGAAGATTGTGTAAAAATCAAAATAATTTCTAATGCTCAGCGAACTCTTTCTCATCCATGATAACAAGATATGGTGATGATCTAGAGAGATGAAGTTACAAATAATCCATGAGACTCATCTTATTCGGGAGGGTTAAATTTGTCCTAGGAAAAAAAAGGTTTTCTAATAATGCTAATAAAAAAATGCTGGTAAAGATGCTGTTAAATAGCGCTTGTAAATAGTAAAAAGACATAGAGAGTTAAATAGTCTTCAAATTAATCAAACTTGGAATTACCAAGCATCAGGAATTCCCAGCTAATTGATAAAGAGTATACGGGGTCCATCACATGAATGTTTCTACTTTGTGTATGTTTGAAAATGTCATAAGAATTTTAAACTAAAAGTTACTTAACGGTGGCAGCATCATTCTATCCCCATATTATATGAATCCAAATCAAGTGTTTTTCACTTTTGTCGCTACCAATCTTGGTCATAAATGGTACTAATAATGAATTTGTTGTGCCTATTGAATGTTTTTTGTTTATTTCTATTAGGTATGTATATACTTATATCTATGTATGTATGTATGTATGTAGATAGGTACGTAGGTAGGTAGGTAGATAGACAGACAGATAAAACATGGTTATCAATGTTAATGTTGAAGAAAAGACCCAAAGCTAAGAAATTTGTGTGGTCTGTACATTACGAGTGTGTAAATAGAAAAACCCTCTAGAAAAACCATTTCACAAGATCCAAGTATGTGTCACTAGACATTAAAATATTAATATACATAAATTTCATCTATTGGAATCTCTCCTACAGGGGGAGAATTCTAATTGCAGAAAAGATTTTGTACAAGAAGATGGTCAGCAGAGCTTTTTTTTTTCTTGTGAGGAAGATCTGAGCTAACGTCTGTGCCAATCTTCCTCTATTTTGTGTGTGGGATGCTGCCACAGCATGGCTTGATGAGTGGTGTGTAGGTCCATGCCTGGGATCCAAACCCATGAACCCCAGGCCACCGAAGCAGAGTGCATGAACTTAACCACTATGCCCCTGGGCCAGCCCCAGAGCTTTAAACTTTGGAAATCCGTTTGTTTCTAACCATAGGGAGATAGCTAAAGAAATATCAGTTTATTTATCCAGTGTAATCATTATGAAATGAAATTATGCAAATTATAATGCTTATAATAGTAAAAAAAAAAATGACACAAAATTTGATACATAATATGGTAAACTGTGAGAAATATATACAGGAAAACAACTCTTTCTGTTAGCGTGGTGAGGTGATCAGGGTCTTATTTCTTTTTTCTCCGTGCTTATTTTTTCAATGGAAATATATATTTAGAAATTATGGCAGTGGAATTCTGAAGGTTGTTTCCCCTTCAAGGAGGTTTTGGCCTTGGCGACTTAGCAAAGGCACTTTGAATCCACAGGGAGCTGCTTTTTTCGAGAGTTAATGCATCCCAAGGCGTGCTTCTCTGTTATTCACCAAGCCTCTGGCACCAGCCTCTAGCCAGGTGCCTCGATGAAAGCCAGATGCATAGACAGAGTCTAAAGTAATCTCATTGCAGGTGCATCCTTTTATCCCAATGTCGCTCCTGTGGTATTTATCTGTTAGAAAATACAGCAATCATTTGGTTGCATCTTCGCCCCAAAGAAGCAGGACTTGGCCATAGCGCTCAACCCCTCCTCCTCTGGTTGTCTTATCCAGGACCTTTATTACATTTAGAACATCAAAAAATCAAAGTGGCTTCAGGGCTAGCCGGATGGCGTAGCGGTTAAGTTTGTGCACTCCGCTTTGGCAGCCCGGGGTCTGCCAGTTCGGATCCCAGACATGGACCTACGCACCGCTCATCAGGCAATGCTGTGGTAGGCATCCCACATACAAAGTAAAGGAAGATGGGCACAGATGTTAGCTCAGGGCCAGTCTTCCTCAGCAAAAAAGAGGAGGATTGGTGACAGATGTTAACTCGGGGCTAATCTTCCTCAAAAAAAAAAAAGTGGTTTCCTGGAGACATATTAAACTGAATGGCAGCTGTGTCATTATTTCACCAACGGGGAACTTTCAGCAGAGCCTCTTCCCATGGCGTCAGTTTGAACATGCTAAATTGAGGCATATTAAGAGGACTGGGGACCATCCGTTGTGGGACAGTGATGCATTAACATACCTGCAGCCCTTCCCATCCTGAAGACTCTCGGTTGGTTCAGTAGTGTTCTTTCCAGAACATTGGCTTTAGAATCTGCACTGCTCTTCTCTTATTAATGAGGCATAGTAATCGTACTTTTAATCACAATTATAATTACTACTACCGTTTGGGGCATACAAAAAGGCCAAATCAAAAGAAGAAAAAACCTATAATCTTCAAGTGTCGATGCTTTATATTGTCTGCTTCAGATGATTTTTCACTATCTATTATATATATATATATATATATATATATATATACATATTTCTTTTTTGTTGTTGTTGTTGAGGAAGATTGGCCCTGAGCTAACATCTGTGCCAGTATTCCTCTATTTTGTATGTGGGATGCTGCCACAGCATGGCTTGACGAACAGTATGTAGGTCCACACCTGGGATCCAAACCCACGAACCCCAGGCCACCAAAACAGAACATGCAAACTTAACCAGTTCCCTACTGGGTTGACCCTATTATTTTTTTTTCTATGTTTATAGAAGAGTCAGGTCAAATATCGTATGTCCTTGAACCGTATGCTACCTAAAGCCTGTCGGTTTGTAGTTACTCTGTTGATCGTGCATTTCATCAGCCATTTCTAACTGGGGTGGGGGGCTGGCAGAGGATCCTTTGTCACCGCATATCAATCATTGAATATAAAATGAAAGCCTTGGGAGGAGCATAGCGAAAGGAAAGGATTATTTATCCAGGATTAACATTGGAGTCATTTTGCTGGTTCATTTCTACAAGTAAATCATCTTTCTTCCAGTTTTAAGGCCACCGATTGCTTTGCTAGTTCCTGTGTTTCTGACTAAGCATAACACAGAGTCTTTCATCTGGCTATTTATTCATCTTACGGGAACAGCTTTCAGTCCTCTTTAAAAATTAATTTGACTTTAATGTCTAGTTATCTAGACTCCCCTGGGCTAGGATGAAATCACACGGGGGGAATTTTGATTTGACAAATGGTCATTGTGCGGGAGCCTTTGATCCTCCACCATGGTGTTAACCAGCTGCCCCTTGTCTGGCTGAGCTTTAAGCAAGATCAAAGTCTGCTCCCCCACAAGGCGTGATCACTGGGGGGCAGCGGGAGAATTCTGGCACTTCCCCGCATCCCTGGGCTGCTGTGGCCCTTCCGCTGGAGCTTAGAGCCCTGCTAAGCATCTATCTACCCAGAGAAATTGGATGCCAGCAGAGGTGAAGAGAAGACAGACAGGGTGAGTTTTTCCTGGGACCTTGGAGTCCCACGCTTCTGGCACTTGTTGATAGGAAGCCCTTTGCTCCCTAGAGTAGGAATTCCTAATTCTGATTTTCCAGTCTCTGAGGCTTGCTCAATTTTTCCAAGTTTTCAAAAATTATGAAAAGTTCATTTTAACTCACTTTCATTTAAAAAAAAAAACATACAACATGTGGTATATTATAGTTAGAAAGAAGGAGAGAAAACAGACAATTTGCTAAAGATCTTTGGCAACTGTTGCCCTCGTGGTTAGACGCCACATGTCTAAAAATGAGATAAATGTCTTAAAAGCAAAAGAACGAGTGTAGACTTCACATACTCCCCTTGATAAAGATTGTTCAAAAACATCCAGCCTCAGTGAGCTGGCTGTACATGTCCCCCTCCCCAGGAAGGCAGGCGCTGTCTAACTCTGCAATCTCTTTCTTCAGATGGGGAGCTCTCCATATCGAATGAAGATGACTCCTTGGAAAACGGGCAGTCTCTAAGCGCCAGCCAGCTGTCTCTGCCTGCCCTGTCCGAAATGGAGCCAGTTCCGATGCCCAGGGATCCCTGCTCCTATGAGGTGCTCCAACCTTCAGACATCATGGATGGGACAGGTAATGCCACTGGCAGAGCTGTAGAACAGGTCTCCAGCATGTGGCTTTAGGGACCTTTGTCCTGGCTGCACTTGAGGTTCTATTTTGACCCACTCTCAGCGTAAGAATCTCCTGGAAATCAGGGCAAAACTGACCAATTAGTACATACTGGGTATAAAAACAAGGAGGATATTTACACTTATTTTTCTATAGTTTTTAAAGACTTTTTTATAACCTTATCTCTTTAAAGAAGATATGCCTTGTTTTTGTACTATTGATGATTTAAAAGTGTCATTGTTTTGTTTTCTAACACTCATTTCTGTTAAGATCAAGGTGAAGAATCCTACGTGTCTATGTGGTACCTATCCAGTTCACCTGTTCATAAGGCCCTGGCGTGCCCTTTAATCTGAGTCCCAGGATACCAGTTAATAGTTGTATCAATTTACCAATTATATCAATTTACTGTTACAATCAATTAATGTGTTCATTGGCTATTAAATTGTATACAATTTACTGATTAACTTGTATCCTGCTGACAGATGATTTTTGATGCCATCTGACTGTCACTCCCTCTTTGGTCCACAGCCCTCTGAGTGGCCAGTATTCCCTCAGAAGACTTGCAGGGTGGTCCTCATTAGCCTGAAGATAGGACCCTCCCATGGCCAGTGAAGAGTGGTCCTTGTTGTCAGGAGACGAGCCTGGGGGAAGGGACCTCTTGGAATCTCTGGCATGTGGATGGAAAGGCCACGTCCTTTCTCCACACCGTGTGCAAAATCTACATCAGCAGAACACGGGTGGGAGGGTGGGAGAGATGACGTTTCACCAAGTCAATTCCCATGTTTCACTTTGGGACCTGGTGAGTCATTGCTCCATCAGTGTGTCCAACACTGATAATAATAGTGTCCCTTGAGACGGGGGAGAATTTAGTGCTCATGAGGATTATTTGCAGGCTTTGATGCTGCAGGGAACACTGCTACCCAGATTAGAGGGGAAGAGAGGGCAGGGAAGGAGTCATTTATAGGCATTCTTAGTAGCAGTGATGGGAGGAAGGAGCATATGCAAGTGAGTTACATTCCCCCCGCCCCACCACCAAGCTGGGAAGACTTTTCCAACTAAAGCCGTGAATTGTGTTTTGTATCCAGCCTTCCTGGTGACGTTGGAATCAGATGGATTCGATTGTTAGAGTGAGATCTGTCATCCCAGTGAATCATAGAGTGCCAGTTTGTCATTGGCCAAGCTGCCAGCATGGAAGGAAGGCCTGTGCTACTACCTGTAACAGCTCTTAACTGGAGCCAGTTGGGGTTCCCCGTGGGGAAGAGAAGAGTCAGGCTCAGTGCAGAGAAAGAGAAATGGGGGAATCGAAACAGGAAAACCATAATTCTGGTGAGTGAGAGGAAAGAGGAAGGGGGAAGACAAAAAGGTGTCGAGTTGGAGCATCCTTCACCTTGTCAGGGATTATAGGAGCCAGCAGGGGCAGGAAGATGCCCCTAAAACTGCAGGGTGCCCACAGGAGGCTGCTGCCCAGCTCTGGCGGCTCCCAAACATAGAGGAGCAGCCCCCCCGGGCATGTAGGGGTAACTCATCTGGTGTCTAGGCTGTCTTCATTACTCAGTCCCAGATCTGGGAGCAGAGACACAGTGAGACCCAGCGGGCAAAAACAAGATCCCGGAATCCACTCTCTCTTCTTCCTAGCAAAGGGCAACCAGGCCCAAAGGAACATGCCAGCGATTGGTGCTCTTTGTCCCTGATCCACTACACCTGCCATCCGTGGATTGCTGCTGTGGTCCCATGGGTCACATTTAAGAGCACCCATGGAATTTGTATTATCAATGCCGAGATCGAAGCGGTGGCGCTTTGGATGGTTTTGAGAAAATGTCCTCTTCCTTTTTCTCCCTCTTGCTGCTTCTGCCTCTCCCTTTTCTGCCTCTGGCTCCCCACTGTGTCCCTCCACCCCCACCGCCCTGCTTTATTGGATTTCTGGTGTCCCCTCTTTTAACTCTCCACTCACACATGACAACCTGGAACAGCTGGTGCTCTGCGGTGTTGCTGCCCCACGTCCCTGTGCTGTGTGTTCCCGCCGGCCCCACCTGCACTGCGTTGGTGTAATGTCTCCTGTGTGTCATGTGGTTGTCCCCTCAGTGTCTGAAGAGAGTCCCTCTGCCAGTGAGTCTGGAGTCCTCCTGTCCCAAGATCCTTCAGCCAAACCAGTCCTGCTCCTGCCCCCAAAAAAACCTGCTGCTTTCTCTGGAGACCATGAAGAGACCCCAGTGAAGCAGCTGTCCCTTCTCAAGCAACCCCCTGCCCTGCCTCCCAAACCCACTGCCAGGATTGCCAACCACTTAACAGGTGAGTCAAGACGTCTTCTGGGGGCATGCAGCCCTGCCTTCCCTTCCCTTCAAGGGATGATCTCTTGCTTTTTTTCTTTTTATCTGAGGCCTGACGCACCTCTTTGGCGAGGTTGCTCTGTGGGACGTTTGGGTGTTTCCGTGTGTGTCTTGGTACCTGCAGTCATGACCTGGGTTTATGTGTTTGTGTCCAGAAGCGTTCAAGGTACACCTACCAGTCGTATGCCAAGAGCCTTCAGTTGTGTGTATCTGCAAATATGTGCATTGGTATTTATGTGACTGATTCCGGATTATTTGCCCATCTAGGTGAATCACATTCAATGTCAAAATCTTTGCAAAGATAAAGAGTAGTACATTGTTCCTTTCGTAATGAATTTGTCAAAGCTTTACATTTTTTGTCTTTAAATTATTGCTCTGAAGCCCAGTGTATTTCTTCTATTAAAAAAAAAGCAAAGAAAATCTGCAGAGTATTGTGGGAAATACTTTAAAAGCAGAATAAGCCTAGGACTGCTGTCCTAAAATGATTTTTATTTTTAAAATGTTATTTAATGAATGGACCTACGGTTATTAAATTGAGCATCTAGTGGAAAAGCACTTCACTGCACATTAGCCTGTGAATCGGACCCCACTTTGTGGTTTAAGTTTGTGGTTTAATCAGAGATTAAAGATTTCAGAGGGTTGTTTCTCCAGCCTCGATAGTATCCCCACCTGATACTACCAACTGCCTTTTTACAGTGTGTTTGGTATTTTTATAAATAGCTTCAAATTGATCTCTGTACATTTTTGTAAGATGTAATGGGGCTGGAGGTAGGGAAGAGTACGCAGCTATTTTATAGTAGAAAACGGGTTCAAGAAAAGTCAGTGACTTTCCCAGGGCTGGCAGGAATTCTGCACTGGAGCCACGAATAGATCCTGCGTTCCCAACTCCTGGTTCAGTGAACATTGTTTCCATGAGAGGAGGAAGTCTCTCACGTGGTGCTGGGTTTTATTAGAGTCCAACCTAAACAGGGTTGCGTCAAACCCTTCTATCAAGGTATGCGCCCATGAAAGTCAGATGTATGTGTTTCAGAAGAGCAAATTCCATCGAAAGGAACCATTCAACACGTTAATAACACTTTAGTTCAGTGCCCCCAAATTTAAATGCATCTACAAAGGAGAAAATGCTGTTGTAAACCTCCCTCTACGAGATTACCACTGTCCATCTGTCCATCTGTCTATCTAATAAAAATCAAATACTGCTGTATAGATTCTGTATCACTCAGCAATATCTCATGAACGGATTCTCATGTTAGCAAATATTCCACAACACAGTCTTGTCAGCTGCCTGGTGTCGATCAGGATTACTCGATTGACCCCTTAGGGGTTTTTCATCTTCTCTGTTGTAAAAAACACAACAGCGAACATCTTCAGCAGCTTACATGTATATAAGCATCTCTGAGTTTTCCATAATTTATTTCTGGAATTAGCAGTTAGAATTAGCAATTCTAATTCTAGAAATAAGTTACGTACCTTATCTAGAAATAAGTTTATGTTACTTTTAAGAGCTTTACACCTTTTAAGGCTTTGCTGCCGAATTTCCATTGAGAAAGATTAAATATTGCAAAATAAACGTCCACATGTAATACGTATTTATTCAGCACACCTACTTTAGGCAGAATACTGTGCTGGGTCTCAAAGCAGATACAAGTATATGACAGTTTAATGAGTGTGTGTGTGTGTGTGTATATACACATACATACATATATATTTGTGGTTATAAAATAAAATGTGAAAATAGCTACTGTCAGGAGTAATACTTGCAGTTCAGTGCAATCTGATAAAAGAATTACTGGAGAGGGCTGAAGCTTGAGCTGATCCTTAAAGCGTGAAGGGCATTTATGGAGAATGAGGGAAGAACATTCCAGAAAAGAAGACCCCAGACAGAGGCTCAGAGGAGGAGGCAGTGTTTCGGGTGGGAGGCGAGGTGGCCAAGCTGGGGTGGAGGGTCTGTCTTGGGATGTGTTGAGAGAGAGGCTCATTAGGTAAGGCATGTGAGGATTTAGATTTTATTCCTGCAGCTGTGGAAAGCCTTTGGAGGTTTTTGAGCAGAGGAGTGATGTGATGAAAACCAGCCTTTAAAAAATTTTCCCTGGTCACTGTAGAATGAACAGAAAGAGGAGAAGGTGGAAGGCCTAACCGAGAAGCCACTGATGCCAGCCCCATGCCTGATTCTCCCAAATCGCTTGTTGAATGAAATTGAATGATTTGAGCCAAGGCCACTATTTAAGAGCCTACTTAGGTAGAAATCTGTGCTAACAAGCATGTGGCTGATAGCAGTGGGGAGAGAGAGAACAGAACAATAGATAAGACATTTTAAAAGAAGAATTGACAGAACTTCTCAAACCACCCTCTAATTTATCTAGTTATCTAATTAATGAAGGCATACTTCATTCATTCATAGCTTCAGCTATGAGCCCTGAACTTGAGTAGCTTGGTATCCGCAGGACTCTTTTGATGTATGAGGGACTGCAGATATCTAAATTGGACCAATCTTTCTGGCTTCCCTCATCCTTTCCCATGGACCGTGGACTTTTTCTATTATCTGTAAACCGCACCTCTATACCTGGGATCAAATGGATAAAAATACATAAAAGCTAACAATCCTTACCATATTGTACCTGGTAGCCTCTTAAATCTGATGAAGACAAGATAGGTGGAGATGTCTATATGCTGTAAATCTGGTGCTTTTTGGGTTAAAGTCACTTAGACTTGCTTAATTTTTGTAAATGAGTGTCAGTCATAACGAATCACCATGAGGCAGCTACATTAACCCTGTTCTGTTACTAATTACTCTAGAGACTTCTGTGCCATGTCAGAAAGAATTAATAAACTAAGAATTCTAGAACTCTAAATTGAGACATGAGTTTTAACATGTTCTCAACGTCTGTTGTTCTGTCGACATGTTTGAAAGGAAACACAAGACAATTTGAAAGACACCAAGCATGATGAATAGAGTCACAGTGGTTCTTGGTCTGGTAGGATGCTGGGCGAAGCATAAGCCTGAACTTCTTCCAGGTACACCATCAGGGAAAGACGTACAGAACTCTCTCTACTTTGGCATTTGTTTCCACTTTATCAGGAAACCATAGTTAACTTGGAGACTATTTTTCTTACACATTTTCTCTGTTCTTCAGCCAGGGAGAGAGAAACTCTTGCTCTCCCAAACTGTTTTTCTTCTTCTCCCACTGTCATCCTCTTTCGTCTCTTCTGCAACGTCAGCATGCACAGTGGCGTGTAATACAGGGTCAGGGGTTTGCGGCATCAGATTCCCTTCTATTCCTACAGCAGAGCTGGTTGCATAAGTATGATTGGAGATGAATGATTCTCAAAATGCATCCTTCTTGGAATGATGGCTGACCCCAGAGGAAGGGGGTGATGGAGGCAAAAAACCACGGTCTCCTCCTTTCTAAGTCTTCATCAATCACCTCTCCAGCCATCCTGGCTCCAGAAGTCAAATGTTGGACGTTGCATGAATAATCCATGCCTTCTGCATAAGGTATTTGTGGTTAGGCACCCCATAAGTGCCATTTGGAGGAAGGATAATCACCTTTGTGATAGTTGGACTTTACAGTCCGACGTTCACACTTGGGTATGAATGATGGCAGCTACCATTTTTTGAAAACTTTATGACATACCTTTAGTCCTGTGAGGTAGACACTATTATCATTATTCTCTCTTTTTCCTAGAAGAGGAAAAAGAAATTTAGAGAAGTTAAATGACTTGGTCATGGTTACCTAGCTAGTAAGGGGCAGAGATGGACTCAACCCATTTTGTTGGACTCCAGAGTCCTCACTTATAACCATTAATTTACACCGTCTCTACCAAGATACCTATTCTTAAAATTCTAAGAAATGAAATCATTAGTTTTCACTGGTGTTTTGTTTTGTTTTGTGTTTTGTTTTTTGCTTTGTGTGTTTTAATCTGTTGAAGAAATTAGAAAATCTGCTTCTTTAACTTTATAACTCAAAGACAAAAAATGGTCCAGTCTTTCAAAATTAAGTAATGTTCTCAAGGCACTTGATTCTAAAGAGGAGGACCCAAGTACGTTTGGGTTGGGTATCCATGGACAAAGGGCATGCCAGAAGGACAGAGTGTGTAAGAATCAAGACTGGGACAAATCACATGGGAAGCATTTGACTACAATTGGAGACTAACAATTTGGCAAAGAAAGGAAACTGTTGCTGATCCTTAAAAACAAGTCCTTCTGCTGCTGTGAACCTGCCCAGGGCTTATTTGCACTATCTTTAGAACCTGAAATACAAGGAAACTTACTGTACTGTCAGAACTTGGTTGATTGCTAGTTTCAACATTGCAAAGTATTTGCAACTGCAATTACCTGAAAAATGGTATCCATGCCCTGTGGTATTTTTCAGTCCCAGCACGTGTCCAGTAAGAATCCTCTATCCAGTGCCTGTCAAGCCAAAACCAGTATTCCTACTTATAGCTGTCTCTCTCGTCTTGTGGGCATTGTCTACATTGAACTACAGTCACTTTCTGATGTGTGATTTCATTATGTTTCTCTGTTGCTCTCTGATCGTCTGTCTCCATTTCTCCCCAATATCCCACGCCCCCTCCTTGTTCTCCTCTTTCAGCCTTCTCTCCAGCCCTGCAAAATCTTCTAACTACTTTTGCCTCTGCCCTGGCACTCCCTCTTGCCTCTGACAGGGCAAGAAAACTGGTGACCAGACTGCTGTGACCTTGATCTCATCTGTGCCTCTAAAGGGAAAAAATTATTTGTAACCCAGAAGCCTCATAAAGAGGTTTAAGGTTCACACTCTCTTGATAACTCATACCTTGAAGGAATGGGAAATTTACCTGAATCTACTCTTTATACCCATTTGTCCGTATTTTTCCAGTTTTGATTTTCTTTTCTCAAAATGCAGAAATTCTTTTCTTAGTGCAGGTAAGAACTATCCATTGATCAAAACATTTTTAAGAGTGCTTTCTGCTCTGACCTCTATG